TTACCCCGGCAGCTGTATCCCCACCACTACTGACAGCCACTCCATCTATCTACCTTATTTATAAAGTCAATTTATCTTCTTTCCAAAGAAAATCTAGGAGTTCAAGAACACAGTTAGACAAATAGGTTTTTAGATATTCTGAAGCTTGGAGAGTTTTCATTTCTTTGCTACAGCTTGTTCAGGCAGATCCAGTTGTTGCAACCATCTGCAACAGCACCAGATGAACACAAACCCCAGCAACAGTATATTAAGAGTTAAAGTAACGTTTACCTCCACAAATATCAGCTTCCTAAATATATATACTTGATATATTTATATATATAATAAATGGTATTTTAAAAAAACTAGTTACATTAAGCAGTGCTTTTAATATTTGCCATCTCAGTGTAAAGTTGGGGTTTTTTTTGTTTTGTTTTGTTGTTTTTTTAGAAGAAACTCTCTTTATATGAATTGACTGATGCCCGTTTGGTTGTCTTCTCAGCTATCCTAAGAAAAGCTCTTGAACACTCTCTACTTTGAAAAGCCAGGATATAAAAGTATACAAGGCCCATTGTCCAAGAAAGAATTTAAAAGCAAGACACGTTGCCAAACTGCGCTCCCCACCCAGTTACCAAACACAGGATACAAGGCAGTTTGTTTACTTCTCACAATTGAATGCATACAAAAAAGGTCTCAGTGCAGTCCTGTTGTCAGGTCAGTAGTCAGTGTTAAAATGCTGAAATATCCTGATAAAACTTGCATTTTTGATCCCCTCCCTAAAGCTTCTGTCAAAGGTCTGTTTTCCTTTCTTAGGTTACTCCCTACTGCCTAACATAAACTGTCACAACTGCCCGAGGACAAACGGCCCCGTTCTGTTCGGAAAACAACCCGCTCTGTCCAACAGCCCAGCAGCCTGCTGGGATCCTCCTGCCACCCTGCAGCCCCCCCGGCCTGGGGGAGACCCGGCAGCCCCACGGCCACAGGGCTGGGGTCTGGCCCCAGCACCCCTCCCCCAGCCACCAGCAACACCCAGCAGACACCTCACTGCCGTCCGTCTGGGGTCGGATCCTCTCACCAGCAGGGCTGGGGACAGGAGCTGTGTTTTTCTTCTCCCAAGACAGCCCCACAGGACAAGGCACTGACAAAATGACTTGGGGGACGTGGTGCATGAATCCACTTGTTCCATCTGTGAAGGCACAAGCTCAGCCCTCGTTAGCACGGCAGCCGCCGGTGCCCACCATGGCCCTGCTCGCCATGTGACCCGACAGGAGCTTTTAGTATGAGAGGGATGGGGGGTGTGTGGGGAAATTAATAAAAGCCCTCCACTTGCATGATGATTTAGCAAGAATAGCCTCCTGAAGGCTGAAAAAACGAGGATGAACAAGCCTGTGGGATGAAATGCATCGTTGAAATGGGCCTCTAGTAAAACCATCAGCAAGAACACTCCTCCAAAAGCCCAGAAAATGCTGAAGAGACTCGGGCCTCTTGTTCTCTTAGCTGCTATCATGCTCAAATACTCTTCCTAAAACTGGAAGGAGTCCTTTCTTATTGTTGCTTTTGCTGGTGTAATATCAGAAGTGTGACCACAGTAAATCAGTGTGTTAGATATTGAAATGCCATCACATTGTCTAACTTCCCTTCTCGTCCTTTTTAGCACAAAGTATTTTTTTCTTTAAGCTCCAAGCCCTCATCTTTGTGTCTGAGATGCTCTCCTGTCTGACAACAGCAATTTAGAAGAGTTAACTTTTATCGTTCATTCTGCTGTGTAACTTTCCCCTTCAAATTTCTTTATCTGCCCTCTGAGCTCATCTGAACTTTCATGTTCTCCCAGCATGCAGGCTTGCATTCAAAACTATGTCTAATAGACCAAATAAGAGGTTAATAAGAAGTGGCAACAGAAAGAAAAAATACAATCCCTGGTAACTGATAAGAATGACAGTGGCAGCCCTTTATTGTTTGTCTTCAAATATAGAGTTAAAGATCTTTAAAAAACTAAATTTTGACGCCTTTGAAAAGAAAGAAGCACAAAATAACAACAGGGGGTTATTGCCTGCCAGCCACAGGGGAGAAGCTCCATAATTCTTATTCTCCCTTTTGAAGGCTGTTAGAAATCTGATTCAAAAAAGCAACAGCAGAAGGAGAAAGCCTCTTGAGGCTATCGCCATTTCCTGTGATCATGCATAATGCGTTTCAAAAGTGGGTTTTTACCAATTCTGTTGATCAATTGCACCTCCTTCATATTCCCTCTTTTTTCTGCTGTGTTTACATCTGATGTGACTCAATGACAAGCGCTGTCTGAGACTGTGAAACAGACCTGTCATGTTGATTTATGGGCGCATCAAACCACGACTTGTCCAAACTGAAGCTCGCAGTTCATTAATTAGAGAGTTGTGACTTTGAAGTCAGCTTTCAGACTGTGGTTTTTAACATTTGGCTTAATTTATATGCTCTTGAATGTGGATCTCTAAGGAAAAAACTGAAATTCCCTTCTTGTCTTTGAACTTCTTTTGACCGCACAATAATCATTTCTTTGTCCAGAGTGATGCCTGCATCCCAGAGTCATTAACGCGCATTGAACTGCCACTGATGAGTAAGCCCTACTGAATTAGAAAAACAGCCAGCAAAACAAAGCTGAGAGCATTCTGCACAGTGATATCTCACAATTACATGCCTTCCCTCCCTGTGCCATTTCCATTTTAATTACTGTTAGTCCTTTAGATTTACATTTTAGACACTTTTTAATCTGTTCCCTTTTTATTATAGTGGCGCCCGTAAGCACGCCATGGTTAAGGTTGTGTCAGCGTTTCCATTATAAACCCCCCCTATTTGCAGGGGTTTATAACTCAGCTGGAAAAATTCACTCTGGGTCGAAACTTGGCACAGGTGGCACGATTTGCCAAAATTTTGTTTGGTGGGGGTGGGCAGAAACGGGTGTGTGCTCTGAGCAGTGCCACTTGTGAAGGGAGACAGAAGCGCCGCCGCTGTCACCGGGCACCACAGAGTCTCGTGCCAAGAGGCAGCTCTCCAGGATCTACCCAGGCCAGCACTGATGCCCGATGAAACATGAAAGCCTCAAACTCCCTGTGACCAGAGAGGTGAACTCGGTGCCTTAAAAAGACACATAATTGCAGCAAGGTAAGATTTAAGCACACCAAAATCAACAAAGTTTAGGACGTGACAGGTATTTTGAAAGGAAAGTGTGTTTAAAGGATGGGCAGTAACCACCCTGGCCTGTCCCACTCCTGCCATGGATGGCAGTGACATCAGAACGAGGTGAATGGGCAGCATTCCCTCGCTGCCTCTGCCTCTCAGACCTCCCTTCCCAGTGCCACCACCGATGCTGCTCCAGCACGGTCCCTCCTGCTCAGCCCATGCCGGCAGGAACGTGCAACCAGAACCCCTCTGGCTGGAAACTGTAAGCCCAAACTCGGCGTGTCTCTTGACAGAGAGGACAGCACCCTATCTGGGCCTGCTGCCTTGCCCCTCCCCTTCCCAACATAACTAACTTCAAAAGCACTCTCCCAAGATACAAGTCTAGATGCTTGCTCCAGTACTCACACCGAACATCAAGGCATGGTCCCCTGCTATAAAATATGTGGCAGCAAGCAAATGGAAAGCACAAGAAAATACAGGCGAAAACAGGACAATAACTCTAAATCTGAAAGCTGAGACCCAACAGAGTCAGTGCAGTTGTGCAATCATTTATAAGATGAATGACAGTTTAATAGCCACTAGACAGTCCCCGGGGATCTGTGGTTTGAAAGTAAAATGGGTATTGTCTGTACCTCTTTAGGCTGTTTTCCAGCATGTTGTTGCTGTAAAAGTTGAAGCTGCAACTGTTCCTGTTGTTTCTTATAAAACTCTTGAAGCTGCTGCTACAAAGAAAAGGAGAGATGGTAAGTAAGGAAGTGGAGAGCCAATTCAGTGTCCCTTTTGGTGTAACACACAAACTGCGATTTGAAAAATAGCATCCTTTTATCTGTAATGGTCTGACCTTTAGTTTGAAACTCAACAATAAATTCAGTGCACACTGACTATTCTTGGCATTATCGTTTGAGAAGTAATCTCCAAAATGAACTGATGAAAAACATACCATTTTCTACACAAACTAATTAAAATAAGGCAAGGAATGACCTTTGATTGTAACAACAAAGCCAAAATGCCCTTGCTGAGCCGAGCCTGGCGAATCTCTGTTGTGAAACACACACACTTTCTAAATGACAGGGTTTGGCCGCGTTAAGTGTTGTTCAATACACACATAGATATCCTGGGAAATACCCTCCTCCTCCTCCCCGCTCCCCAGATGTGTGCTGGGCTGGGTGCTGATGCCTGACCAGGATCCACGAGCCCCTGCCGTGCTGTACGCTGTGGCAGCAGAGCCTGGGGGCTCAGTGGTGGCCAACTTCCAGCTGAAAAAGGACCACGGGCCGTGAGAAACACCAACACTCAGTGGCCTGAGGCACGTTCGCTGAAATCAAACTGATCAAGGTCTGCAAACCTCTTCACTTTTATGGCCACCGTTTCCACAGTCCTTTATGGTTCCAGATGGACACAATGAGGCCTAAAATGGGAAGCATCACCCTACTACCTTGTTTATTCCAATTAGTCAGGGCACAGCGTGCTCTCTGGGGGATGCAGGCCAAAGCAACAGGGACATCTGCCGAAGTCCTGACACTTAAATATGCATCTGTATTATTTAGCTGATCTTGGAAACACTCCTAGCACTGCTCCCTGGATTTGTTTCCAGTAGCTATTTCTAGAATTAAAAACAAAAGAGCAGTCAGTTCATCTCAGAGCACAGCTGCTCCAAGGTCTGGACCCGAGGTGAGGGCAGCTTCTTTCCCCAGGAACATTTCAGGAGGCGAAACCCTCTGGCAGGGGCCACCCGAGCGGCTGTTAAGGAAACAATTACCTGTTGAAGCATGAGTGCCTGCTGCTGTTGGAGCAGGACTTGGAGTTGCTGGGGAGTTAGCACTTGTTGCTGGAGGATCTGCTGCATTTGCTGGGGAGTGATCACTTGAGGTGTCATCATAGCCACCGACACTGGAACCTGAAGCACGAGAGGAGAGCAAAGAAGCGGTCAGAGAGGTACCTCAGGAGCTCCAACGCGCTGGGCACCAGGGGTGCTGGAGGCCAGGGAGTCCTCACAGCCCACCCCAGCACGCTCAGAGGTGCCCACCACGCTCTCCTGGCCACCAAGTTCTCCTTCTGCAAAACGTTATTGCGACGGGAATTCTTTAAAGCGAGCGATGTGCCAAACCCTGGTAAGAGTTCCTGATTTTTACAAGAAACCAGTGCCTGGGTCCTTCCCCTCCTACCCCCCAAAAGCCCTTGCCTTCTGTACAGAAATCCAACAGCCGAGTATCCCGCGCTGATGGGATCTAGACCCTATTACGACAGGTTTTTAAGAAAATTGAAGGAAGGCTCAGTGATGTGAATAACAGCACTAGACTCCTATGCAATTTTAACAGAAAGGCCCTACCACGACGTCTTTACCATTCCATATTCACCCAGCATACAGATGTCTTCAATTCTTTCATATTATGTGAGATACCATTAAAAGCCGCTTTCCATGACATTTCAGTGACAAACAGCTACAGTGATGAACTTGATAGCATTTCATATTTGCAACTGTTAACACGTTTCTGCACGGGCATCTTTGCAAGGAACCTGTACACTGTATCTGAAAGGATGATGTCTTGTTCAGATAAAACACTGACATTAAAATGACAGGCTGTCTTGGCCAAGGTTACACAAATTGTATTCAAGCGGATACCTAATGACAATGCTATGAATTCTGCAAGCTTTCTAGAATGTAATTTAGCTATTCAAAATAATCACTGCACTTGTGTTTAATTTGCAGACTACATGAGAACCATTTTGTCAGTCCTAGTAACGCAAGAAGACTATTTCCCTAGAAACCCACCCTCTACCCTCCACCCCAAAAAAGGAAAAGAAAAGGAGGGGAAAAAAAAAACCAACAATAGAGGAAAAGACAAAACCCATATGAGTTTTAACAGTAATATTTAAGCACTTTACTTTTCTATAGTTTCAAATCAAATACGTGACAGCACAAAACTAAAAGCAGTAAAGGATATACTTTGCTAAAAAGGATCTCCTGACATCTCACGTATTACAATAAAAGGTAATAATATGTTTAGCACTTTTTCTGCACACCAATTTCTAAAAAACCGGCAGACAATAGCTGATCAGAAGATAAAGGAGTTAAAAAAAAAATCTTCCAGTGTAGTAGTAAGCAAGAGAGAAATGCAGTATTAATTTTATGTAACATAATGTCTTAATATGCAGTTTATCTTGACTTTTTCACATGATTTGTCCTGTCATTTGCATAGCAAGCTCTCATTCCTAATTTCACAGTCATTATGCACTGATGTCCTGATTTCTCAGCATCACTAATTTTGATGAACTAAAAATGGTTCCTGAAGGTCAGAGGCATGTACAGTGCACATCTCCCCGTGTTGTTGTGTACACGCTGCGCGCCAGGGCCAGATGCTGCCTGGGAAACGTTCCTCGGAGCAGGCCCAGCCTATGACACCCCACCAGGGTGAGCCCGGTGAGCTCCTCCGTGCACGTTCCCACATACCCAGTGTGGTCTGGGCCGGGCAGCCCCAGCACGAGGAGACCGAATTGGGGCTCCCATGCCAGCCCCACTGAAGCCAGGAGCTGCTCTCCCGTGCCCGGCGTTGCTTGGCCGTGCCTGTGGGAAAGACACTGGCCGGCCACTGGGCCGTGCCACGCAGGGCCAGCTCCGAGGACACCAAGTCACCGGGATGGCCAACCCCATTAATTCAGAATATCTTAATCCGTAGTTGGTTGAAAACTTTTCTGGGAGTAGAAAATGATTTCATTAAATACCGCTGTCACTATCTTCGCCCCGAGGCATGACTCACCTTCATTACTCTCATCCCCAGAGAAGTTTACTTTACCCTCGGGTTTGTACTACCTTTCATTGAAGTTGGACTGAGCAAACAGAAGAGGAAGCATGTTTAAGTATGTTTTCAGTGCCCTTCTTGGAAGATAGACAACACAAATACTCTTCAGTCAGATTTATGACGACAAGCAGGGATGCAGACAGGAATAGGGTGGGGTGCTGTAAACCCTACACATCAGTGATTAACACGAGGGCCGCATTCTGCCGTCAGCTATGCAGAGGCAACTCCCATTCACTTCCACGGCTTCTCTGCACATTTATCTTGGGATAAATCTAAGGATTTGGCCCTACCTTTGAAAACTGGCCATGAACCTTCCAGTGAGAATCTTCTAACTCCACACTCCTTGCTAGAACAGAAGCACTTAACCAGCACAGAGAAAAACAATTCTATCTATAAAATACGGCACACCGAGGAGCACAAGCGTGCGTTGATCCGTTTGACTCCATTCTACCACCTGAAACCACATTTTCACACCACATCTGTGCCTCTGAAGAAGGTCCTGCCTTCCATTTATAAACAGGGCCAACGGCCACTTCTAGCCGAAGTTTGTACTTTGGCTTATCACGAAAGCAACTTATGGAAACCTTTTACAAAGCAAAGTCAAACAGACCAGAAACCACCGTGCTAAAAACGACACGCACGTCCCGGGCGCAGGCGCGGGCACACGTAGGGTTTGAGGGCTTTAAATAGTTAAGAATGATGGCCTATATATCCACTCTCTTAACTCCCAACGTCCAACTTTTTCATGTAGCTAGTCCCTGGTAATACTGGGAATCAAAGGGCATGCAGCACCAGCAATAGGCTATTATAGCCCACACTTTATTACCCATTACTACCGAGGTCATTAGCGGTAAGAGTGATTGTACCGGTCTTAACCTATTGATCATTGTAACTACTATCATTTAATCCCGTGTTGAATGTCTGGAAAGCTGCTAAAGGCACACAAGAGAGAGTGCTTTAGCGATGAGAAATATAGCCAAAGCTTGGAAATTACACTTTGATTCATAAAATCTAGCCAGTGGTTTAAATCAATAGTATTTAAAACAGTCATGTAAGTTCTTAACTACAGCTCTCTAATATTTATGGGTCCCTTTTTGAGTGTATTCAGTCAAAACTAAACTTTATTTTAGATACTGTGCAATATACTTTACATTACGTTAGATAAAAAATATTTATTTCTGATATTTTGTCCGATAGTAAAAGAAACCTAAACTGAGGGCTATAAATTAATTTTAGATTTCTATCTCTCAGATGTCAGCTTAAACGTGTTGCCAAAAAAAATTACAAACCAACTTTAAAAATGGCTTAACTGTTTAAGTACATGAAAACGAGCGTGTTTTATGAGTTAACAATGAATCACAGAAGGCAGTTTATGAAGAACTAAAATAATTCTGTCTTACTGCCTTCAGGGAGTTGAAGTTCAAATTAAACTACTGGCAGATATATTTAAAGAATGCTAAGTTAGCATGCAGAGCAGAAATTACTCTTTTCTTTTTCTGAGACTGTTTATTTCCATTTTCCACATGAAACACGATTGTTGTTATTGATATGATTAATGAACTACTTTTGGTATTGTTGACTGATAACAATAGGGTGTGGTAGATACCCAGCTGCATGTAAACCTGGCAGCAAAGGTGAAAATACAGCTGCAATTTGGCTTTCGGAGCTGTACTAGTATAGACCTGCTGACATGCTAATACCATCAACGGCAAAAAATGTCTTTAATACTCACAATTGTTTTCCAGACACCATTTCTCCCCGGGTTTTGCCTGCTGTTCCTCCGCAGCCCCCAAACCCTCCCGTCCCCCACAGCCCCTGCTGTGACCCCCAGTTTCCAGCTCTGCAATCACGCCGTGTTTTGGCGAGCCCGACCAAGGAAAACTTCCCCAAACTCGGGCCAAGTTCACCTTTAACTTCACGGCGGAGTTACCGCAGGGATGCATTTGTCACTGCTCCGTACTACCCAGACAAGGGTCACGAGGATGAAAATGATTTAGACCTATTTAATCATCTCCATTCCCCCATTTTCAGTGATATTAATATAATTAAATACTAGCTAAATAATTTCAAGTAGTTTAATCTTGTATGAAGAGAAGAAGAAAAAAAAAAGAATGCCATTTTCACAGCCCGTGGCTTCGGAGCTGGACACGGTCGTGGTCCTGTTAACTGTTAGCAGGCATGCATGGACGATGGGGAGGATTTCCTTAATTCATAAAGAATAACTCTGCCAGAAAATCCTTTTCTCCTGTGATGTATGTTCAAACATGATTTCAGTAAGACCTCATACCAAGCACCTTGGATTTCCAAACAGCAATTCTTCGGTTAAAGATTTTTCTGATAAAAGTTAAACGGAGCAAAACACAGCTGAACACAGAAAGAGCAAGTTGCTGAGGAACAGTTAAAAATACTGGGCTCCAAATAAAAATAGATACATCTAGGCAAAAACAAACAATACACTGGAGCTGTCTTATTAGAATGCTATTACGTGCAATATATTTGAAATGTAAAAAAAAAAATTATATCTCTGCCGAAACAGTGCAAAGCAGCTTTGTTCATGCCATAGGAGAAGATAAACCACCCATACCCTGGCAAAGAGAGACAATGCCCCAAGCCAGAGCAGAGCCCAGCAGTGCTGAAGGCAAGACCTGCTTCCATCCCGAGCCTAAAACATTTCCCACCTCAGATCTCATCCTCCAAAATAACAACAAAAAGATGCTGCTGTTAGAAGTGTTCACGCAGACCTGCAGTGCTCTTTCATTATGCAAAATGGAATCTCACTTCTAGGCTTATTTTGTCACGATACAGTGCAACGCATTAAGACAGGTAATGTTTATTGTATTAATGTAAAACCAGCTAAGTAGTCTGTCATTAGCATAACTGTTCTCTCCGTAACAATACAGCTCCCTATTAAAAAAGAGGGGGGGAACCCCCTCTTTAAAATTAAATTAGCATTTTATTATTATAATTTTGTTTATTCTCTCTTATCGGGAGGGAAGATCTCCCTCTGACCCGCGGAAGGCAGGACGGGCTGTGCTGACATTCCCCGGCACGTGAGGATCTCTGCTGTCTTCTGCATTCTCCTCTAGCTGAGGAAAAA